ATATGACACCAAAGTCGTACCGCCCAATCATTTTATCGTCATTCATGGTGAAAACGCTAGAAAGACTAATAGATAGATATATACGAGACGAAATACTAAGAGAAAACCCTCTTAGCGACCGTCAATATGCATATCAGCCAGGCAAGTCAACCGATTTGGCCCTAAATGATCTCAACAGGCTACTGTCAAAATCCCTGGAGGATAAAAAAATGGCAGTAGCAACTTTCGTAGATATTGAGGGAGCTTTTAGTAATGCCCAAACAAGATTTATAATTAACGCCCTAACAATGAAAGGGGTACCTGTAGTCCTATGTCAGTGGATAAAAGCCAGCCTAGAAGAAAGGGTAATAACATCATCTCTAGGTGAAGCTATACTGACAGCAAAAGCAGGCAGGGCTGTCCCCAAGGAGAAGTACTATCACCCCTCCTCTGGTCAGTTCTAGTGGACAAAATCATAAAAAGGCTAATTTCTGCAGATTTCTACTGCCTAGGGTATGCCGATGACCTGGCGATCGTCGTAAGAGGTAAGTTCGGAGGTACAATATCGGAGCGCACACAAACCGCTCTAAACATTGTCGACGAGTGGTGCAGAGAGGAGGAACTAACAGTAAACCCTCACAAAACTACAATAGTCAACTTTACAAAACGAAAAGTACCAACAGGACTAAAGTCACCAGTACTAAAAGGAGTTAAGATTCCATTTGTTCAAGAGGTCAAATACTTGGGAGTCATCTTTGACCACAGGTTAACATGGAATCAACACTTGTAAAAAGTTACCCAAAAGAGCACAACATCTTTCAACTTATGTCGAAGATTGTGTGGAAAAAATTTGTGACTACAACCGAAAATGTCCCTAGCCACGGGAGCTATGAGAACAACTCCAACGGCAGCTATAGAAGTCATGCTAAACCTAACACCACTACATATATTCATTTAAGGCGAAGCCAGGTCTGTCACTTACAGACTGCACAAAGGTTCATCACCCATAAGTAGTTTGCATGGACTTGACTACAGCGAGCTATATAAAGAGTTCAAGAACAACCAAATAATAGGAATGCCTTCAGATGAAATGCTCCCAAGTATAGCTTTCAAAAGCAATATAATGTAAGTATACCAGACAGGGAAGCGTGGACGGGAGGACCTCCTATTTATGCAGAATTCACCTGGTATACAGACGGCTCCAAAACCCATGAAGGTTCAGGAGTAGGTATATATAGTACCAAGCCAAAGACAAGAACCTCACTGAGCTTAGGTAAACATGCGACAGTATTCCAGTCAGAAATAGCAGCAATACATCACTGCGCAAAAGAGGTATTAAGACAGAAGGTAAATGGAAAAATTATTGTCATATACTCAGACAGCCAAGCGACGTTAAAGGCACTCAGTTCCATGCAGGTACACTCAAAGCTTGTGTGGGACTGTTTAGAAGCCCTAACAGAGCTGGGTAGTCAAAAAGAGCTGTGGTATAACAAAAACAACTATCAGAACATGCACAAAGCAGTGTATGTTCAAAAATCTCAGGAGTGGTGGAGAAACTCTTTAGGACATAGACAGGCCAAAGAGTTCTTAAAAGGACCATCGCCTAAACTCACCGAGCATCTACTATGTCTTAATAGGAAAAATACTAGAGTACTAGTAGGTCTATTAATAGGACATTGTAGGCTTAACAAACATATGTATAATATCGGTCTACCAGAAGAGACCTTGTGCCGATTCTGTCAGGAAGAAAAGGAAACGGCAGTACACGTATTGTACTACTGCGAAGGTCTAGCAAGACTGAGATTCCTTAAACTTGGAGAAGAAAAACCAAGGGCAACTAGCTATAGCGGAGAACTACTTCCCAGTCTATGGAGTCTACTACAATAGATCGAATTAGACAAGGTACTCTAAATAACGATTCAAGGATATCCACAATAGATCTGAAAAGGTTGAGGTGGGGGAGGCCACATGGCCCACAGTTCTAATTAAATCTAATCTAAGGACTGCCAGTAGCAGAATCTTAGAATATCCTAAAATATTTTTTATTTAAAAAACCCAAAAGCAGGTAAATGTTTATTCCAAGGAGGACACCTTTCTATCAAATCGTCAACTGTTATACTGCACTTTAACTCATATAATTTACGTAGGGAAAGTACCAAGTATGTTACACCATCGAAAAGGTAATTTTATAAGTAATTCAGCATTATTACTAATTATTGCGTTACTTTTGATTTTAGCGTACTCTAGTGAGATAAAAACTGTAATTAAAATTAACTCTTATATGAAGTGTTACACTATAAAATACGTAACAGTTTTTTATCTCACTAGACGACTTTAAATTAAAAGTAACGCAATCATATTCGATTTTTTCTTTAATTTTCAATTTCTCGAAAAATATTCTTAAATACAATCGCTAGCAGACTTTAATCAGAAGACCTTATTCAAATTCCCTTATTGCTTTGATTCTCATTTTGTCCTAATATATCCAAAACGCTGCCATTGCAAATTCAGTGGTATGACGTTTTAGGGAATTTTTATTTTTAATAAAATATTTAATTTTCAAATTATTATCTCACCCTGTAGTATGAAAATTTGTTGAAAAAATGTCACATGAGATACCTTTAAAATTATTAATTTATGGATTTTAAGACACTTTGTATAGGTTTGATTCTTATTTATGGTAATTTTATGGACTAAGCTAAATTGATAGAATCGAAAATTTTAAAAATAACCGTAACTGCATGACTGGATAATCTTCAATTCTTAAACTTTCTTTGCCATGACGTCCAAAATTGTGTGCTTTATTATATAATTTATATTCCACTAGAATCTGAATAAAAGAGGAGTGCAGTAAAAGTTCGGATACAACATCACATTTTATAGGCGTACTTTGCAAAATAAATATCTATATTATAAATAAGGTCACGGCATATAAAATAGTAGATACTCACTTCGTAGATTAAATTTTGAGTTAAAAAAGTATGATTATTTACAAAAAATAAAAATAAACCTTTAGGCTTCTGACAAAATTATTGCACTTTAACATTGAACGAATCAAATTTAACCAATAATAATGATATGTTGTTAAGGGGATTAAATATTTTTTATTCTCTTGGCATTAAACACTTCAGTATCTAAAATCAAAAATTAACAAAATTAAAAATTCAACAACTGTCTTTAAAAGTTACTGTCGTCACTATAACTACTGGTATCATTATCAATGTCTTTTCTGATTTTTATTATTATAGGGTCTATTAGGTTTTCCATTGCTATATCCACTGTCCCAAATAAATTTTTCACCTTTTTAACATGATCAATGCATTTTCTCCAATGTTCTCCTTTTACACCTGAAACTGCTTTCAAAAACAAATTTCGCCCATCAGGTGGTATTATTTCGAGAAACTTAAATTTTTTATGATATTCTGAAAACATAGGGCCATCCATTTCTTTATGGTAGTCTTCTGTTTTCTTAGACTCAAACATTAATAAACCATCTGGCAAAAATCCATCGGTGCTTCCAATGTGGGTCATTATTAAACGATGTCCTTTTCCTATTGGATTTTTTATTCCACAAGGGAACCCCTTCCAAAAAGGATTATTTCTTTGTTTTGATGGAGGTATCTTGCCAAATTTTTGTTACTGTATGTCCAGCATTAACCCGTTTTAAAATACGTCCTCGCGTCCACAATTTTCCTTCAATATTCACGTCTCCACGCAATGATTTCATCATTCCCTGGTAAAAAGCTGTTTACTGTCAGGTTTTTTGTAACGAAAAATGTATTTTATGTAATATCTTTTGAAGATGAAAATATGATACATTTGGAAGAATGGGGTTGTTTTCTACTTCTAAGTGTAATTTTTTAAGTGTAGGAATTTAATTTCGAACGAAAAAAGAATCTACCATCTGCCTTATTACATTCTTTACCCAAGTTTCAATGAGGGTCTTGTTTCTTCCTAGAGATTTTTTCGAATGTGAGACTTCTCCAATCTTCTTTCATAATGTTATACACTGTCGGCTTTGATACTCCATAGAAAGTAAAATAAAGTCTTTTCTAAGATATTTTTGCCTTCTAAAGATAATGCGTTATGTACACTAGATCATTCGTACTCATGCTTGCAATATTTTCTAATGCACTCGCCATTATTATATAACTGTGAAATTATAATATACTCGTATACTAATACAAAATTCCAAATCAATTAAAATACATACGATTCGGCTATGACTAAATAAAATATGACTTATATGTCGAAAGAAAAGTTTAATTACAGTAAAAACCTGGAAATATGATTAAATCTATGCGAAAACCTTTATTAGGCCGATCAGATGTACTAAAATTTTCATTTTAACTACAAATAAGCATTGAAGGATGATGTAAAAATAAAATAAATAAAATATCTACCTTTTGAAACTGTACTACGTTTAGCAAATTAAATAACTGCACTCCTTTCTTCTGTAGAATATAACAATGACAGTAACAATAGATTAACAAAAACCGAGGCCATAGGAATTTCGTTGACATTTTATTTGTATTATTTTATTCATTTAAACATTAAAAATAATTTGGTTAAATATATTTAAACTACTTGCAAATAGTACCTACATAAAAAAAACTTAAAATATATAGGTCAAATTCAATGACAGACTAGTGTGTTCTTGATAAAAAAAATAACTGTCAATGAATCACAAATTATGTCATCATAGTATAGCGTATAGTTTAACACAATCCTATTACACCTCAAAATTAAATAATTGAAGCTCTATAAAAAGTATGACACATTGTATAAAAATCTCGTAAATAATGTTTATCCCCTTATCAGGTAGTTTCATTCACGTAGATGAAACTGAATTTTGAGAACCCATAAACAATAAATCAACTAATTTATGATGAACATAAAACCTTTTACAAGCTATTTTGTTGGTTTAGATATTTTGTCGTAGCGAAACGTTTAACCATTTTTTTTTGAGTTATCTCGCAACACTTTCCACGTGCATTCGAATGTAATTGTTTCCTTTTCAGATTCCAAAACGAAAACCATGTCTCGCCGACAATCTTAACAATGGGTCTGAATGTGTGGATCTCCCAAACGAAACTCCGACAAAATGCAGAATCTCAAAGACCCGGAAACCATCCCTACATTCGAGACGGTGCGCCATTCATGTAATACAGCTATGATTTCTATCAAAAGAATATCCGAGCATGACGTTCGACCCTACGACACCGCCTCATTGCAACGAAAACACATCTTTATACATATCCAGGAATATGAAAGGAAAAACTGAATCGGTATTGGCATGTGAGCGATGGAAAAAATGGAAGAGGCTTGTGGAATCATGAACAGCAACCCTGATTTAATGGCTCCCGCCATCATTCCACAAAAATACGATGCCAACGTAGATTACGTCATCAACGAATACATGGAGCGATTGGGCACTCGCCTAAACATTCTTGAAACCGAACTCAAATATGCGTGGCGAGCGTTAGATCTCTTATCCCAGGAGTATATCAAGATGTGGGAACGGCTGGAAAAACTAGAAAGTCTTTTGTACGAGCAGCAAAGCGTCATATCCCAACTACTCGACTTTTACACCACCGGCGGGGCTTCCGTGCACACAGCCACTGCCTCCCTGGAAGGCAAACTCGGCGAATTGGAAGTCATCAGGGAGATCTTGGGCAACGGCGCCGTAGAAGATGGATTGGAAGAAGGTCTAGATGTGACCATTTCCCACGAGCAGTCGCTCGAACTTCAGGAAATAGACACAGAAATCGACGAAATGCACGTACCTGACGAAGCTTTCTACAAAAGCCTCAACCAAGCCTACCGAGAAGACTTAGTAGGTGATGACCCCGCGTTTAGAATAAGTCAATTAGGAATGATTTGGGAAGAAAGAGAGGAAGGAAGCGAGAACGGCGAAAGGGAGAGAGATAGAGAACGACAACCTATTGATACCTCAAGTAGGCTAGAGGATAACCAAGAAATTTATAGTGCTTTAGACTACAAAGATTACAGAGGAAACTCTCCGTGCATTAGCGAACAAGATCTAGCTCAATTAACTAAAATAGACTCTATAGATCACTTAGCTATTGAAAAGTTAGACGAATTGGACAGGCTTAGCAGTAAATTACATCAAGATTCTGTAAATATTAAACAGCTAAGAAGAAAACTATTAGAATCGCCTCTGTCTATACAAGAGATCGAAGAAGAACAAATAGACGTTAAAGAAGCTGAAGACTTATCAAATATCGACGAAACTCTCCAACAAATGTATCCAGATGATCAATGGAGCTTCTCGAGTAGCGTCAAAGATAAAAACGAATTCCTTCTTCTAGCTAAATCTGATCTACCCGGTCTTCTCACTAACGCACCATACTCTTCGAAATCCAGTTCGAGATTTTCTCTTTCGGATGCTGATAAAGAAGTAGCAGAAACATTAGGAGTTGATTCGAGAAGTCCACCATCACCCAGAAGGCGACAGACTGAAGTTTCAACTTCTAGTGAACCTTTCACTACAGTCACTGGAAGACTGGCCTACAGTGCTGCTGTCCAACATGCCGAGCAGATAGAGGCAGCGGTTGCAGCGGCAGTTGCAGCGCAGAATACTAAAAACCCATTTTATTGTGTGTCTCCCAGCTTGAACGCTTTACTACCAGCCACTTATGAAACTGTCTCTTGTTCTACGCCAAATATTTATAGCGCAAGATCGGAAAAAACTACATCTCCAACTTTGTCCATATGTAGCATAAGGACCAGGCAAGATGGATACGTTGATCCTAATGCTATACCTATCGGACAGAATCATAGTCCACCTCCACCACCAGCGCCTGATGTAACTGATCATTTTTTAGCGAATAAAGCTGCTAGTTCTTCAAATGTATTTTTGGACGCTACAGACTCGTCAATTAACCCAAACGAACGATTAAGTCCGAAACCTCATTCGCCCAAGTCTACCAAATCGTCTCCCAGAAGAAGTAAATCTCATTCTTTAACAATGGCCGCCGCAAAGTCTGATTCCGGTCTGTCTTCAATGAGCGGCTGGTCCAGTCTTGAGAAATCACCTGGCTCTCCAAAAAATACTAGAACGAATTCTTATTCGGAAGGCAGACACGGTAGTAGCAGATTAGTTTCTCCAATACCTCCTCATTATGGATCTGCTTCTAATAGTACTAAACCTTTTATCGAATCTTCTGTGGACTCAAAGTTAGCTGATTCATCAAACTTTTTACCTGGTGGTCATCATTTATCAGCATTTACTTCAGTAAAATCCCCTTCGGGACTTGAAACCGTAGAAGGTTATGGCAACTTTGTCCCTGCTCCTGCACCAGCGTCGGATATTAATGTTAGTCCCAATAAGAAAAAAGAAAAATCGCCTGCCAAAACGAACGAAGATAGAGCATCCGGAATATCAATGTATCGGTACGACCAGCCAGCGATATACTCTGTGGCTGGCAGTAACAGAGAGTCGTATACTTCTGTTTATACTGGAAATTCTGACTATTGCCAAAATTATCCAGACCTCATCGAGCCTTATGAGAACAACGAATTTTTTAACAGCCAACAAAAGAATTTTTATCCACCGGTATCGTATATGCCTTACTCTGGACCTAGCCCTAGCTTTAGCAACAACACCAAATATAAATCGTCTGGTAGTAGAGAGCCTGAAGATTTTTCTACCCACGAAGGATATAAAACAGCCATGTATAGAACTATGTTTCCCTCCGGCAACATCACAGATGCTCTGTCTTATTATCCAACGTCTTCAAGAACTGATGTAACTTATAGTGATCCTTCATGGTACAGTCCTGATGGTAGACCAATACCTGAAACAGCGTACTTGCAGAGTCCGAATAGAGAAAGGCAGCTGCAATACCAACAAAAAGAGCAGCAACTGCAGCAGCTGCAGCATCAACAACAGCAACATCAACAACATCAACAGCATCAGCAACATCAACAGCATCAACAGCATCAACAGCATCAACAGCTTCAACAGCATCAACAACATCAGCAACACCAGCAACATCAACAACAACAACAACAACAACATCCGCAACAACGACAACACCCTCCTGCTTATGATGTTCAGCAATTTGACCAACAGAACAAACAGTGGAATCAACGGCAAGAAATTCCTTACTTAGATCTGGATTTAAGGAACAAAAATTTACCTGAATATGTAGTACAACAACAACACGGCCATAATTTGTATTACGATACCGGTGGTATAATCATGACCCAATCTGGTTATATTACTATATCTTCTGGTACAGATACTAGACCGCATACCACAGAGCCTACAAAAAAGGTAAAAAGGTCTAACACTCTAAAATCCGCTATGAGCTCTGTGAGTCAGTGGTTGCCTAATCTTAATGTAGCCAAAAGAAGTAGATCGCATTCCTTACCAGGCATCAAGAGAGATACCATTAAGACAAGTTTAAATAAAAAGAAAAAGAAAAACAGCATTGTTTCCACAGTTTCTGATATTATCCAAAAAGCTAAAAGACGAGGGAGTTTATCGCAGAACTATTCGTCATCTTATTCTGATACCGAACAGTCAGAAACAGAATGGTCCACCGAAAAATCCAGATCTCTTCAGTCTGAAGATGAACGAAGTGAAGACAGTACAAGTCTTTACTCTGAAACTAACGTTGAAACTGACAGTGATTTTACAACTAGTACAGATAATAGTAAATCCATAAAACACATCCAATCCAATAATGAAAAATTTGCTCTTCAACCACTATATGAAGCTCAAACGCCCAACACAGATGATAATGTTCATAAAGAATCAGACGGAGAGGGCAATATAGTTAATAATCCTACTATTTCATACTTAACGAGAAAAAACTCAATACACTCGGATAATGAAGACGTTATAGAAAGCAAAATGGTAGTCGTGGTAGGTGGAGGAGCATCTATGGAGTTCGCTGTATCTAGAGCTCTTGGAAAATATAGACAGAGACAATCAAATTCGTTTTCAGATGAAGGAGCATTTAACGAAGAAGACGAAATAATCATAGAAGAAATTAGCGAAGAAAGGGAAAATCAGAGTGAATCAGCGCCTCAAATTCTTGAGAAGGTACTATCTGAACAGAAATCAACAGATAGCCAAACTAGTTCTGACAATAACAAACCTACTATTATAGATATAGCGGAAGAAGCTATTTCAGAAGATAGTCATTCGACAGTGAGTATGAAATCGCATACCAATCGTTTTTTACCCAAACAGCAGCAAAGTTTAGAGATACCTGGAAGTAAAGATGACGATGATGTTAGAAGTACACATTCTTGGAGAAGCACTTCTAGGGTTTCTTCAAGACGACAGAGTACTGAAGACAGCATCGACAGCGAGGACGAGTGGTACTGTTACGAACTACGAAAATTGGAAGAAATGGAAAGACAAAATCAGTTAGAGATAGATATGGGTACTACGCTTCTCGAAGAACCAGAACCTAGCGAAGAAGACCAATTTGAACCTGGCAAAGATGTTAAGGAAAGAATGGGATTTGTATTACGAGAATTGCGAATAAAGGCGAAGGTAGTCGAAGGAGTCTTAGATGAAAAAGACAATAATTTACTTACAGTTCAATCTCGTAAAAAGAAAGACTCAAGAGATAAAAGATCTTCCTTTCAATTAGACAACGCTGCTTCCTTATTTGAAAAAATAAAAAACTACCATCATGATCCCGAACAGGAAGAAGCTTTAAAAAAGGAATTAGATAGGTTAGAAATTGAACTGAACAGTCCTCATGGAAAAGAAGATCATTCTTCAGGCGCCACTTCGGGCCCCGATAGTCCTCACAGTACTGACGAGTATGACGAAGCTGAAATGGTTATTAATGATGAATTCGCTTTATGTCATGTTAATAAAGAAAAAGAAGAGGAGGAGAATAATAAATTAGAAATAACCGCTCCTACTCAAGAAGACGTTGAAATGATTCAAGTACCTACTATCAATTTAGAGTCATCCACGCCGGCCAAAGAGGAGAAAGATGAAAAAGAAGGAGGTCAGATGGGAAGCAGATGGAAGTTATTAAAGACGTTAAAGGAGAAGAAAGCTGAAGAGAAAAATAATAAAATACCGACACCTGCTCCTGAAACTACTGTAAGTAAAAGTATTATTCTACTTAATTTACTTTAGCGAGTAAAAGATTATGTATTATGTATCAAGTCTTATTTTAAATCTAATTTAAAATCAGGTAATTTATTCAGTATGTACTACAAAATTAATTGAATTTCTACATTTATGTGCATAAAATATGGTAAAGAAATGTGTAATAAACCTTTTACCAATGAAATCAATAATTAGAAACTGCACTATGTAATTAACTATCAATTATATCCTCGTATACGTCAAGAATTTCCCTATCCGTTGTACCTACATGTGTTGGAATTTACAAAGATCTAATAGAATCTGGTATCTTAAGGTATTTGCATCTAACATTCACCTAAAGCTCTATTGAGTTATAAGAATGTTCCATTGTATGAAGAATCCAATTCAAGTACTTGATTTTCCCTTGAGGAATTTCTGTTATTAAAGTGCGCAGCGAAACCTCAATTATTTGAAATGAAAGCACACATTAAATAAAATTCCATCGCATTATGATATCATTTTTTTGATTTTAATCTTAGTGAAAGAGCAATCTGGTTGTTATAATTATTCATCAACTACCTTTAGTTGATCTTTATTCATTTAAAGGCCAGTTCAAATCAAAAAAAGATTATTATAAACATCCAATTTATTCATGATATAAAAAAATGTACAGTAACTTTAACCACCGTTTCTCGGCTCGAACAGGACCAACTAAAGGGGCGGGCAGCCGGGACTAATTCCTGGGGCCAGGACTCAAATGGGGGCCCGCAGCGGTATAAGGGGGCTCGGCAATCGAATTTTTTTTTTCATAAGTTCGGCACAAGACAAGAGGGGGAAGTTTTTGGTTGGGGACCTTTTTTGCTTTCTCTTTTAGAAAATTCAATTTAAGCAGAAGAGGAAAAGTTTTTGCTTGAAGAGCTTTTTTTTAGAAAATTCAATTCAAGTAAAGGAAGAAAAGTTTTAGCTTCTTGAAGAGCTTTTTTTGTTTTTAGAAAATTCAATTTAAGTAGAAGAGGAAAGTTTTTGTTTGAAGAGCTTTTTTTAGAAAATTCATATCAAGTAGAAGAGGAAAAGTTTTTGTTTGGAGAGCTTTTTTTTAGAGAAATTTGAAGGAGAGAATATTTTTTATTTGTCACGGGGCCCGATCCATAGAATTGTCCTGGGGCCCGGCCTGGCTCTCGGCGGCCCTGGGGTCGAAAATAAGTCGGTTTAAGCCTGTATAAAAAAATGGATCATAAAAACTTACAGGGTGTTAAAAGTGATTTTTTGCTCTTATCTACTCTAAAAAAGTAGGAGGACAAAGGAGTACAGAACTCTTGTAAAAACCTAGAATAAAAACAATTTTAAACGCCATTTTAGAGTAAGAGCAACAAATTACTTTTCATGTTTAAATTTTAACACCCTGTAACTTGTATACTATCCATTTTTTATAAAAGCAAGTTAGCTTAAATTTACTGTGCATCTTTTTGTTACGCCCTGTACAATATAAATTGAATACAAGTTTGTTCCCACGAGACATCAAAGACATCTTTACGACAGTTTGTAAACTGTTATTTACCACTGCGCATGTAATTAAGTAAAATTGTTTGAATGTTCTAGACAACGGTGCAGTTGCTGTATGTCTCAAACGCCCTCTGTCTTTGTTTTGGTGGTGAGAACCTAAAGTCGATCGAATATACATACCAATTGAAATGTTATGAAACCACTAAAACAAACCAATCTACAGTCATTTATAGGATTTATTGAGATATCTGAAATGGTTTCAAACTCTTAAAAAGCTACACGATAATAACCTCTTTACCGATTGAAGACTAATAACAAATCTTATATTGTTAAGTAGGTAATACAAAATACAGTGGAGTGTAAAATTTATTTTCAGGTGCTCTGACATTTATCTGTGAATATTTTAATTTGAATAATAATTACATGTAAACAAATGCAGTTTGTAGTTTATTAAAAGCATTTTTAATAAACAAAACAAAAATATATACAGGTACGAAAAATTAAACGCGGACCATCTAGGCCAAATCTATTAGAGGCGAGTGTAAGTGGGAGTGAGGTACTGTCGCCAGGCTACAGGAGGTAATGCACTGCTCGGCGGTCTTTGTTTGTTTCACGCGTAGTCCTATTATACCGTATCCATTTCATTTTAAAATAGAAGAGAATTTTATGTAAAGTAGAATTTCAATTTGGGACAATCAGTATGTTTTTTTTATATCGTTCAGAATGAGCCAGCGTCGGTCAATCATAAATACCATTACGTAAAGGTTTTTTATATTTTAAAGTATATTAAAAATGAATCCGTACTTCTCGTACCTTCAAACGAAAAATATATCGAAAGTGCACGTGCGATAATATGAGTTTTTTGTTGTATAATTCGGTTTATTTATTGTAAATAAAATGTTTAACAATGTATTTAATATGTGATGTGTTTGGCCAATGGTGCCGTTGTTTCTAAATGGACTAACAAATACATTAGGTGAGTATTATTAATGGTTTATTATATAATTGTTTTTACTTAAATTGACACTGTAGTGTCACAAAAGTAATCGATTTAGAAGACAAATAGAACCATTTTGAATGTGGTAGAGACCAGTGTTGCCAGAATATATTTTTGTTATGTACCAGATTTATCTGAGAAATGTATCAGATTCCATAAAAATATACCAGATTCTATAAATTGTACCATAATTTTCGAGTTGTGATGGTTTGGTTTAGAAGAGCAAATAAAGCTTTTATCGAAAACGAACACAAACAAGGAAGAACCCGACCATATATTATTTTACCCGTCAAATGGAAACGGGCTAAAAAAGTAAAAGTATTAGATTTTGCTATAGATATATAGATAGATAGATATATATTTATTGATATAAAATAAAAATTAATATTTTACATGTATCAATGTTAAAAGTATAAAAAAAGTTATATAGGTATAGGTACAGAAAATACAGTTACAATTTAGAAAACTATAAAAAAAAAATATATCGATACACATACACATAACATATTAAAACATACTTAAAAGATAAAAATTAAAAAGGTATATTCACCAAAAAAGTTTACACATTACTCACATACACAGATGGATACATGTGATAAGAATTCGTCATTGGAATAAAAGCAGTACGTGTGTCTTTTTATCAAACTGTTGCAGCAACGTTGGCATCGGTGTGGTATCTACCTGTCTTTTTTTCATCAATCTATCAATGATGAACTAACAGCGCTGTCTTTTTATCCAATACATATACTACGATAATAAGAGCGTGGGTACGTTTTTCTCATTGCTCCCGAGAAGTGTTCAGATTTGGTGGTAAAAACCATCATACAAAATTAAATAAAGTATCAAATTATAGCTAAAATCATAGTGAATTCAAATATGTAATTCTTATAAAAGTGCCAATTACAGTAAAGCTGAAAATTGCATTTAACAAGGATTTTTTAAAAGTGTTCTGTTTTTTTTTTTTTAACTTTAAATACAAAAACTGGATATTGTTATCTGTTCAATTAGTAAAGAAGCCAGCTGATAAATAAATAACTATTTACAAAATAATACAGTGGCGTACTAGAAATAAAATGACCTATTTTAAATGCCATAACAAAGAAGAATTCAAAAACTTGGTTTGTATAAGTTGCTTTAACGTCCTGCATCCGAGTTGCCTTGATCGAGACTTCAAGGAAGCTGTTAAAATTGAGGACCATAAGGTATATTGCTCATCCAGATGTGAAAACCTAAAAAACTATGAAGAAGTTGAAATTAAAAATTTCCAAACAGAGATTGCCAAACTAAAGGAAAATCTGCAAGATAAAGAAGACCATATTAAAAGACTAAAAAGAAGCAGTCAAAGTTTCGAAAACTTAGTAATAGATGCAGAGTCAACATTTGAAGCGAAAATTACAAAGCAGTATAGGGAAATTGAGTCTCTCAACTCGAAACTTCAAAGTGCACAGTGTGCAATAAATGAATATGATAAAACCATAATGAAAAAAGATGAGATGATATTAAAACTGCAACTGGATGTCAAGGAGTTGGATTCTATAAACAGGACCATGGTAACAACAATAAGGATGTTGGAAACTGAAAATATTGATTATGAGAAAACCATTGGGATACTTAAAATTGAAAACGAAAATTTTATGGATGTAAGTAAAAATATAAATGAATGTAGAGTTTTAAATTTTGCATTGGAAGACAACCAAAGAAATATGACTGATCAACTTAATCAATTAAAAAATTAGAACGTTAAGCTGATGAAAGATATTGAAAACTTAGCAAAAGACAATATAATGTACCTAAACCAATTAAAAAGCTTACACATTGACATCAAGAATACGAGTTTTAAAAGTGACAACATTGAACCACAGAATGCCAAGAAACAGAAAAAGATTTTGATATTATCAGATGAAAATGGAAGAGGTTTGGACAGGGAATTAAGAAAGTGTTTTTATCGAGAAAGTGCGTCAATTGAAATAATTTTAAAACCAGGAGCAGAATTTAATAGAATACTAGAAGATATTAAAAATCTTACTAAAAACTTTAACTCAAATGATTATGTAGTTATTATGGCAGGAAAAAACGACATATTAAAAAACAGGTATCCTAGCATTAAGAATATTAGTTATAAATTAAAACAGTGCTTGCACACAAATTTAATTTTTCTATCAATACCTAAATTTAAAACTAATATTAACAAATAATTAATTTCAATTCTAAATTATCAGGTTTTATAAGTTATATAGACTGGTATCAAAAAAACTCCTTCTCTTTTTTATATGTTAATGATAAGAATGGTTATAGATTGAATAATAAGAAATTAGCATTTTTGATTAAAAATAAAATATGTTCAGTAAAGTACAGAAATAATTTAGTATTTATTGAAACTGATAATCAAACTGCTTGCATAGATGGAAATACTCCTAAATCAAATAACAATGAAAAGATTATAATTTTAAGTGATATAACAGTCCCTACTAGTACAGAAAATATGGATTTTCCATCCAACAAAAAAATTATT